TCTCTTTCTATTTTTTTTTAAAGTGTGTGTGTGTATGTGTGTGTGTGTGTGTGTGAGAGAGAGAGAGAAAGAGAGAGAGAGAGAGAGAGAGAGAGAGAGAGAGAGAGAGAGAGAGAGAACAGAGGCCATGAGAGTTTGTCAGATTACTGGAGTTGGAAGTTACAGGCAGTTGTGAGCTGCCTCATGTAGAAGGCAGGAACCAAGCTTGGGTACTCTGCTAGAGCAGCAGCAAGTGCTCTTAACTGTAGAGCCATCTCTCCAGCTCCACCTACTGTACTTCTGCCCAAAGTGTCTATTCTTCATGAAATTTTTATATTTATTCTAGTCTAGTAAATTCCTTCCCCCCACAAGCCTTGGACTAGTTCCTACTAAACACATATGTTTTGTCGTCACCCTTAGATCTTGGCACAGGAATCCTAGAACCCCCGGAATTTATTGTGTGCTAAGCGTGAGGGGAACAGCTTTCAATATTCCTAAACCCTTTAACTCCTGTTTGAGTCTCCCTACATGGCTCAGGCTGACTTCAAATTCCCCAGGTTATTCTCCAAATCAAAGCAATCCGGCCTCCTGAGTGCTGGGATTACAGGCCTGCGACACCTCAGCTAGTTCAAAAGCACAATTCAGCCACACCAGAGCTGATGTTAGTTATGACTCCAAGATGACTCCTGCAGGCTGGCAAGGTCAACTGCCTGAAAAGCCAAATTTGTGACGTGAGGATGAGAGCTTTTAGCCAGACCCTGATCTCTAGGAAGGGGAAAGGGAGTGGAAATTGATTTAACCACCAACACCAGGTGACTTCATCGTGATTATGTAATGATGATTCTATTAAAAACTCTAAAACTGGGGTTCAAAGTTCAGAGAGCTTTCAGATCGGTATATCAGTGGCCAGGAACATGCCCAAAGGCGGCACGCGAGATTCTGTTCACCTCATCCCTTGCTTTGATTATTTCTTCCAGGTTCATAGCTGTTCCCTAGGAGATAGGTAGGGGAGTTTTTCCGTGTTTCTCACCTCTCACTAAGTCACTACTTAGCTCAGGCTACCCCTGAACTCTCAATCCTCTCTTGCCTCAGAACCCCAAGTGCTGGGATTGCAAGTGTCCCTCACCATAGCGGGTTCTGAGCTGTCTCCTTTAGGACGAAGTGACAATAATAAGTAAGGAACTTTCCCGAGCCAGTCCAGCAAATTTCTGAGCAGGAGGAAGCATTCTGACCTGCAGCAGATTAGCTAGAAGTGCAAGCCACGAGTGGCCTTAATTCTGGATACCTGGTGTCATAACTACAGGATAAGATGTCTCGAGCTGGAGAACGGCTTTATGTGAGAGGAAGTCAGAAGTGGAGAACGGCTTTATGTGAGTGGGTTGTCAGAAGTAATGTGCATACGTTTCTTTTTTCTTTCAAACTTTTTTGGGGCATGGAGGTTGAGACAAGGTCTCATGTAGCCCAGGATAGCATTGAACTAAGTATGTTGCCAAGGATGACCTTGAACTCCTGATATTCCTGCTTCCACCTCCCAAGTGCTGAAATTACAGGCACACGCAACCATGCTCTGTGTCTTTCTTTCCCTTCTGTTTATCTTTTCTGTTAAGATCTCCAGTTTTGTTCCACAAGACAAAATACTCGAGAAAAAAAAGTCTCTCTGTGATTAGCATTCAAAGATCATTTCTTTGGCAGAGTTTTAGGGCTCCAAGGAGAGCCCATCAAAAGTCCTGGACCTCAAGAGAGTGTTCCAGGCAGGCAGAGAGAAGCAACTCAGCTTAAGCCATGAGGAACGGCAGATGGAAGAGAAACAGCCCTTAGAGTGTTCATTGAGAAACACCACTGATTTAACTGAAGATGCCCAAGGCTCTGTTTTGGGCCAGAATTATCTTTCTGAAATCAAAGGGGTTGGGGCTGCGTCAATAGGCTCCACATTAGTGTGGCAAAATGATTCAGCAGATCTCCTCCAACAGCAGGTCTACAGAGACAGGCTGACAACAGAGAAATCACCATTGTCCTAGCACCAGCCACACAGGCAGGACCAGGAACTTCTGCCTGGCCTCAGTGTCATAGAGGCAGATCAAGGTAGAAGGCAGTCAGTTCTCATCTCATCCATGGACCAAAGGACAGGGAGTATTTTAAAAGGTTTATTGTTGTTGTTGTTATTATTTAGTGTGTATGTATGTGTCTGTGTGTGAATGTGTATGTGCATGTGTACTTGAGTGGTCACAGAAACTAGAAGAGAGCATTGAATCCCTTGGGGCTGGAGTTACACCTGACCTGGGTCCTCTGGAAGACCATTTTTACAGCTGAGCTGTTTCTCTAGCCCTGGGTGTACTTATTTTACATCCCAGCTGTAGCAAGGGGGTCCTTTTTTTTTTTTTATTTGCCTACGAGGCTGAGATTTAAGACTACTGTGATTGCCGGGCGATGGTGGCACACGCCTTTAATCCCAGCACTTGGGAGGCAGAGGCATGAGTATCTCTGTGAGTTCGAGACTAGCCTGGTCTACAGAGCTAGTTCCAGGACAGGCTCCAAAGCCACAGAGAAACCCTGTCTCGAACCCCCCCCCCAAAAAAAAAGACTACCGTGATTACTCTATGGCACTCATATCAGATTCCAAACATAACAATGAAACTTCCTTCTTTTCTCTGGCATCCGGAAGAAGTATTTCCTTTTGCAGAGGGCCTTCCTATGACTTAGTATTCAATTCTATTAATATTCCATAGCTATGGGCTCGCTAGGAGTGAATATACTCTGGAATACAGGCTGACTTCCAGAGATACCATCGCTTGTTTCTTACACTTGGCTGCTGCGTGGTTTTGATTCCTATATTCCTGAACCAAAAAAAGAAGGAAGTTATGTTGTGGAACATTACTTTAACTATGTGTTACATTTGTTTCTGTTGCAGAATACTACTTTAAATGTGTAAAGGTGTGTTACCTTTGTTTCTGTTGCATTTGTTTAGCTACATAAAGAGGTGTTACATTTGTTTCACCTTGCCTGCCTAAGGCACCTGATTGGTCCAATTAAAAAGCTGAACAGCTGATAGCTGGGCTGTAGAGGGACAGGCAGGGCTGGCAGGCAGAGAGAATAAGTGGGAGGATGAGTCTAGGCTTGAGAGAAAAGAGAACAAGAGAGGAAAAAGATGGAGATGACCAGGGCCAGCCAGCAACCACTGGCCAGTCAGACACTGAAGAAGCAGGAAAAATAAGAAATACAGAATGAAAGAAGGAAAAAAAAAAAAAACAAAAACAACTCTGAGGCAAAAATAGATTAAGAGACACAGTTTAAAATAAGTTATAAGAGCTAGTGGGATAAGCCTAAGATAAGGTTGAGGACTCATAATTGATAATAAGTCTCCATGTCATGATTTGGGAGCAAGTGGGTGGCCCAAAAGAAGGCCTGCTACAGAGTTACACATGGTGGTTTTTGTACACTCCTATAATCTCAACCCTCAAAAGAGGATCTTAAGTTTTAGGATAACACCAGCTGCGTGGTAACACCCTGTCTTTAAAAAAAAAAAAAAAAGAAAAAGGAAGCCAGAGAGATGGGCAGTAGAACAATACAATTCACAGAGGCCAGGAATAGAGGGTGGGAGTTGTTTAAAAGATAAAATTTGGGGACTGGAGAGATGACGCTGCTCTTGCAGAGAACCCAAGTTCAGTTCCCAGCACCCACATGGCAGCTCATAACCACCTGGAACTCCAGTTCCAAGGAAATCCGGGGCTGCCTTCTGGCCTCTGTTGACACCAGGCAAGCACATGGTGCGCATGTATACATGCAGGAAAACGCTCACATACATAAAAAAAAATGAACTCAAGGATGGAGTGATGGTTTAGCTAATAAGAGCACTGGCCGTTCCTCCAGAGAACCTTGGTTTGGTTTTCAGCAGCTACATGGTGGCTGACAATTATCTATCTGTAGTCCCAATTCCAAGGGATCTGATGCACTTCTCTGGCCTCCGGGGACACCAGGCTCACACAAGGTACACAGACATATATGCAAGCAAAACGCCGGTATACATAACTAACTCAAAACCCCCAACTCATAGTATATATAAAGTAAAAACAAATAAAAAATGGTAAAATTTATGTTTTGCAAAGTTTACCAAAGTAAAAACCATTAGCTGGGCAGAAAGGCTGTAATCCAAGCCACTTGGGAGGCTAACGCAGTAGGGTTGTGAGTTCAAAGACATCCTGGGCTACATAACAAGTGCTGGTTAGCCTGGACTACAAAGAGAAACCATTTTGTTTTGTCATGTTTTCCTGTAGACAGGGTTTCTCTGTGTAGCCCTGGCTGTCCTGGAACTTGTTCTGTAGACCAGGCTGGCCTCAGACTCAAGAGGTCATCGTGCCTCTGCCACCTGAGTGCTGAGATTAAGAACATGCGCCACCACGCCTGGTTAGTGCAGTGACACTGTTTTAATCGCCACTCCCCGCTAAAAAAGTAAAGAGAAGCGTGGCAGGTATAGATGATTTTTTGCACAATCTTCAGTCATGTTAACGTGTAGAGCCCATTGCTCAGCAACACTACCTCACTTCAAAATCATTTCTGCTTGGTTTCTGGTTAAAACCCTCAGTGTAAGAGTGATACTCTTTTAGTGTCCAGAGCCATTGTCTCAGCCTCTTAATTTTATAAACACTAGGAGGGGAGGGGACGATCCAGGAGGAAGACCAAGCAGGAGGAAAATCTAGAACAGGTCATTTGGGGATAAGAAGCAGGGAAGAAAAGGTTCGTTTTCAGAGATGTGTACCAAGGGTGATCATAGCTGGCAGAAGAGCAGGAAGCCATTGTTCTTGCAGGTGCACCTGGGGGCAGTGACGGCAGCAGAGCTACACTGAGTGGGCGTTGCATCAAGGTGAGGCCAAGGTCAGGAGCAGGAAGGCAGGATTAGCTTCAGCTGAAATTTGCTTGGGCTGTATTAATTTCCCGTGCCACCCTGTAACCCATGCAGTTTCTCCACTGCCCTCCCTGGGCCAGTGTAGGCTTACATTCGAGCTCAACCCAAGAAAAAACACTAGTAGAGGTTCAGTGGCCCCATTTGAGGGCTTTTTTTATTGTTATGATTATTAAACATGCTAAAATCACATTACAGTGGCTATTTTTGCCCTGACTCCACAGTGGGGTGGCTGAGAACTATAGGGGTATCACTTGGCTCATGTGGCTCTGGGGATGACTAGAGATGGGGTAGATTAAGAGGTAGGCAGATTAGCAATGGCCAGAAAGCCCCTCATGTAGTATTTATTTAACAGTTAAATTTAACTAATAGCTTCAGACATCTTTCCCTTCTCTACTTTTCTTTCCTTCCTAACTAAATGTTTTCTGGCCTATGGCCTCTGGGCCTTCTGCCATCTTTGACTCCTCTGATCTCAGACTGGACCATGAAGGAAGGTTTTCCTGTCTCTACCTGCTTTCCTTCCTTGGAAGGAATCTACTCAGCATGCACTAATTTATTAAGCTGCTTTTTTTGGGGGGGGAGGTGCAGTTTTTTTTTTTTTTTTTTTTTTTTTTTTTTTTGAGACAGGGTCTTTTTCTATGTAGCCCTGGCTGGCTGGCCTTGAACATACAGAGATTCCTCTGCCTCTATCTTCCAAGTTCTGGGACTAAAGGCATGCACCATCACATTCTGCAAGCTCCTTAATTTATGTCTGCCCAGGTGAAAGGACAGTTGCATTGAGGCTGAAACACGGGAGATGGGAGGGATGGTGCAGAAGGACCAGAAAGTGTTACCTGAAGCGTGAGTGCTGCATCTGGCAGAGTACATCTCCCCACCCTCAGGCACTGCACCCTGAAAGCTTTCCCATCTTGCCCTTGACATTAGGAGGAGGGGAGGGTCAAACCTCAAAACCTTTTGTTCTCTGCAACACGCTGATCCACCCTTAGCCTAGTGACAGTCAACTGGCATCTTCTCAAGTCCTGTGTCTCTACTACTGTGATGGCTTAAGAGAGCCTGAGAAAAGAATCTATAAAGGTTCAGCTTGCCTCTAGGAGAGGCCAGAGGGATGAAGGGACAAGACACGTGAGAGCCAGAGCTGTGGAGGGGAGAGAGGAAGTAGAAGAGTGAAGGGAAGGCTGGCCATTCAGGAACTGGAATCCTTTTTCTTTTTCTGGAATTGCCTGAACTTGCCCTGAATCGCAAGGGCAGCCTTCTCTGTCTCTGGAGCAGTCAGGTCAATGTCAATCTCCTCCTCCTCCTCAGCCTTCTTGATGCTGCCAGCCTTCCCTGGAGACAGAAGGAGACAGATTGGTGAGTCAACCCAACCGATTCCACGTCTTTCCTCAAACCTCAAACCCAGCACCTAGAGACCACTTAGAACTAGGGTCTTTGAGGTCCCCCAAGTCTGGAGATTACAGACAACTGATGATTCTAAAAGTTAGGGTGCTAGGCTTAGAATTAGCATAATTACCACCAGAAGTTTTGCTATCCTTGAATCAAATGACAAATGTCTTGTCTCATTACTTATTCCTAAATCGTATGGTTTAATCCCAAAGCACACATCCAGTGACTGATGGAGAACAGTGGCTTGGATTATCTGAGAGGTTTCTTTTTTATCGCTTGATGTTTTATGGGGCTGGAGAAGTGGCTCAGTGGTTTAGAGTCCTTCATGCTCTTGCAGGAGACCAGGGTTAAAGTCCCAGCATACACATCTGGTGGCTCACAACCACCTGTAATGCCAGTTCCAGGGGCTCAGAAGCCCTGTGGCCTTTTTGGGCACCTTCAAGCGTGTGGTGAACATAAGCTCATACAGGCACACACACATACATAGAAAACATTTTAAATAAACAAATCTTTTAAAATACATCATTTTTTTTTCAGAATCTGTACGTGCCCCGTGTGTGGAGGTCAGAGGACAACTTGTGAGTGCCATTTCTTGTCTTCCATCATGTGGGTTCTAGAGATTGAACGGAGGTCACCAGGCTTGGCAAATAAGCGTCTTCCCACAGAGCCATCTGGCTGGCCCTTTATCACGTTACACGCCTTTTCTAACCATTCACAGTTCTTGTATCACATTTCTCCCTCCACTGGCTCTGCTAATGTGAGCCCAGCCTCACTTACCTTTTTCCTCAGGGTCAGACGCCTGGTTGGTCGCTGGGGGTGTTTTTGTGTTCAGCTGGAAGGGAAGAATCAGAGTGTGAGATATTAATGGAGGGATGAAGGCACCACTGCCCCAGAGCTCTTATGCGCATTCAAGTTTTCCATGACCCGGCAGATTTCCCACATCTTTCGAAGAAGGAGGTCTTGAGATCAGATGAAAAAAAAATCATCAACATTCATTCAATAAACCCAGCATGATAGAGAGTGCTTGTAATCCCAACATTCGCACGACTGAGGCAGGAGGACTACCATGAATTCCAGACCAACTCGGGTCACGTAGTAAGCTACTTAATAAAAACCTTTTTCAAAAGGAATTAAATCAATGGATATTTATTGATGTCAGAGATTATAGAGGACAAACCAGATAAAGTAACCTGCCTTCACAGAGCTCATTCGAGGGATATTCAGACACACAAGGTGACTGTGGTGTAAGGTGGTAAAAAAGTAGCCAGGCAGCGGTGGCACATGCCTTTAATCCCAGCACTGGGGAGGCAGAGATGAGAAGATCTCTGATTTTGAAGCCAGCCTGGTTTACAAAGTGATTTTCAGGAAAGCCTCCAAAGCTACAGAAAAACCCTGTCTCAGAAAAAAAAAAAAAAAAAAAAAATAAAAGATGGTAAAAAGTACCAGAGAAGAGGGCAAGGTAGGGAAGTGATGACTGCTAGCTAAGGACAGAGGAATAGGTCTTACATAATCATCAAGATAAACCTATCCGGTCAACTGTGGAGCCATCATCATATTACGATGATGATGATGATGATGTACTGGGGATTGAATCCAGGGCCTCATGCACGCTACACCAGTGCTTTAACACTGAACTATCACCAACTCTGGAAAAGTCTCTCTGAAAGGTGGCACTTGAGCAAGCAGCTGTAGGAGGTAAGTTGGTACAGACTGCGGAGATCTGTGGCAAGACCCTGGGGTCTTCGCCTCTTTGAAGACCATCAGGATCCAGGCATAGCTGAAGTGGAGAAAGGAAAGAAAGACAGACGGACAGAGACCTAGCTACGGGTGGGAGCAGATTATGTAGGGCCTTGGGGGAGACCTAGTAAGGGATTTCTTGGACTAGAAGTAAAAGCCATTTGCAGAACTCTGATTTGCACAAAAGGCAAATGAAGAGGAAGCAGAAAGCCTGCGGGGAGGGCGCGGGACTCCTGCAGTAAACCAAGCAAGAGAAGATGGTAGCTTGAATCAAGAACAGTGGCAGTGCAGGGAGCACGTGGTGAGGTTTTGAGTACTCTGATCAAACTACGACCAAGGTGACTTTAGTTGAATAGGTGGCATTGGGATAGAGGGAGTTGATTCTCCTCCTGAGAACGAGAATTGGCCTGAAAAATGAAAAGAAGGATTTCTCATCTCCTGCTACAGAGACGACAGCTAATGGCGTGGGTTTTAGGGACAGGATCAGGAGGGTTTTTTTTTTTCCATTTGTTTTTGTTTTTAAAACAAGTTTGGGATACATTTCAATTATCCAAGAGGAGACTTTTCTTGTCATTTGCTTGCTTGTTTGACATGGGGTCACTATGCAGACAGGGTAGCCCTTGAAGTAATCCTCCTGTCTCTAGCCCTTCACCTCCCAAGTTCTGGGATGACAGGTGTGTGCCGCAATGCCTGACTCTGGCATGCTTCTGTTGTTGTTTTTATAGTGAGGGTTTAAGGAAGGATATAGTCCGTCGTGGCTCAGGAGGCATGGCAGAAGGTGTGTTAGGAGGCTGATCACGTGGCAGCCTCTCTATCAGGTGTTTCAGGGACGAGTCTATCTGACAGAGAAAAACCGTGGGGGAAATTGGGAGGGTCTGGCATCTTTGTAAGCAGGACAGTGGGCATTTAGACTAGGATGACAGTGATGAAGAGAGAGAGTATCAGCCATTAAAAAAGTTTTGTGGTAACAAGTTAGATTGGCAGGTGTGATTTTGAGCACAGAGAACTCTGTGAAAGAGCTTTCTCTTTAAAGACAGCAAAATGGGGCAATAGTTTGGGCTGGATATGAGGTTGTAGAAAGGAGCCTGTTACAGTAGCAGATCTGAATGCTGATGGGAATAATTTAGTGGAGAAGGAAAAATTGATGATGGAAGACAGAAAGGATAATTACCAGAGAGTTATCTCAAATGAGCAAGAATAAAAAGGATATTCAGCACATACGTGGAAGGGTTGGCTGTAGACAGGGTCCTAACACAGCATTAACAGATAGGAACGAAAGCATGCAACGGATGCAAATTGGTGGCATATATGGTGGGAATGTACAGATGATCTCTATCGAGTGTTCCCATTTTCTCAGTGAAACAAGGACAGTTGTCATCTGAGAGTTAAGGGCAAGATGTGGAATATTATTTTAACTAGGCAAAGACGTGATACATTTGTTTATATTGCATTTGTTTAACTAGGCAAATATGTGTTACATTTGTTTCAGCTGCATTTGTTTAATTATGTAAAGATGTGTTACATTTGTTTTACCTTGCCCTAGCCTAAGGCACCTGATTGGGCTAATAAAAAGCTGACTGGCCAATAGCTAGGTAGTAGAGGAATAGGTGGGGCTAGGAGGCAGAGAAAAGAGAAGGAGGGAGAAAGAGAGGGAGCTACCTAGACAGGATTTCTCTATGTATCAGCCCTGACTGTCTTGAAACAGTCTGTAGACCAGGGTGGCCTCAGACTCACAGAGATCTGGGATTAAAGGCATGTGCCGCCCAGCCCCTCACTGGATTTTTATCTTAATATTTTTTTAACTTTAAATTACTTTCTCATTTTTGTTTGCTTGTTTAGAAGCAGAGTTGGAGTTACAGAGTTGTAGGAGTTAGTAAGATAGCTCAAGAGGTAAAAGCACTTGACCAGCAAGCCTGCCTGACAACCCAAGATCTAGCCTTGGAAACTCTGTCTCAAAAAAAAAAAAAAAAAAAAAAAAAAAAAAAAAAAAAAAAAAAAAAAAAAAAAAAAAAACGAAAACCAAAACACAACAGTGAGGAATGGAGTAGGAGGATAGCTCAGTTACTCAAGTGTTAGCTTGTATGCAGGAAGACTTGAGTTCAATACAAAGAAGCAGTGTAAAAACCCAGGCATGGTGGCACATACCTGCCATCCCAATACTGGGGGGGGGGGGCAGAGACAGGTGGACCTCTGGGCTTGCTGAGAAGTGTCAAGTGTCAAGTCAGGAAGAGACCTTGTCTCTCCACCCATCCCAAAATAGGTGGATGTTTTCAAGGAATGACACCCCCCCCCCGAGGGGTCCCTCTGGCTTCTGTATGCACGCACGCCATGTGCACACGCACACCCCATCATGTAACACACACATGCTCACACAAATGGTGATACACTGTATTTAGCATAGGAAAGTGTCTTTAAAAGTAGGTCATAGCCAGGTATGGAGGTGCACACCTTTAATCCCAACACCCAGGAGGCAGAGGCAGGCGGGCCTCTATGAATTTGAGGCCATTCTGGTCTACAAAATAAGTTCCAAGCCAACCAGTGAAACACTGTCAAAAAAAAAAAAAAAAAAAGGTCATAAACCGGTACTGACTGGGCGAGGATCTATCTCAGTAGCAGAGTATGTACTTAGCATGTTCGAGGCCCTGGTTTCTATTCTGAGAACCAAATAAACAACAATAAACTGATTGGTGATTTGGATAAGGATGGCCCCCTTACACTCCTATATTTGAACACTTAGGGAGTGGCATTAGCAGGTGTGGCCTAGTAGGAGGAAGTGTGTTACTGGGGGTGGGTTTGCGGTTTCAAATGCTGGAGCCAGGTCCAGTGTCACCCTCTCTTCCTCCTGCCTTCAGATCTGGATGTAGCACTCTCAGCTCCTCCAGCACCGTGTCTGCCTGGCTGCTGGCATGCTTCCCTCCATGACAATAATGGACTAACCCTCTGGACTGTAAGCCAGCCCCAACTAAATGCTTTCCTTTACAAGAGTTGCTGTGGTCATGATGTCTCTTCACAGCAATAGAAACCCTAACGAAGACACTGATAGAGTCTAATATTTTTTAAAGATAGTATTTGTTTACTTATTATGTCTTTTCTTTTTAATCAGAAGATGGGTCTGGAGAGATAGCTTAGTCCAGGAAGTGCTTGCTGTGTGAGCTTGAGAACTTGAGTCCAATCCTGAGAAACCACACACACACACACACACAAAAAAAAAAAACCAAAAGGCATAAGGAGAGACAGAAACAGGTGGATCTCTGGGGCTTTCGCCTACCAGTGAGTTTCAACTCAGGGAGAGACCCTGACTCAAAAAACAAAGTAGACAGAGCCTAAGAAATAATAGTCAAAGTTAGCTTGGAGGCTCAATACATAGGTATACTTATGTGCTTTGGAACACACATACATTCAAATAGTGTATATAAAAAATAAGAATTTAAAATCTGAGACTTCATATGCAGACACAAATGTATAATACCAACATCTGGGAGACCAATGAATAAGGATTACAAATTCCAAGCCAGCCTGAGCTACAGTAGTGGGGGTGGGGTGGGATTTAAAAACACACCAAACCAGGCATGGTGGTACACACACTTAGTACCAGCACTTAGAAAGCAGAGGCAGGCAGATCTCTGTGAGTTCAAGACCAGTCTGGTCTACAAAATGAGTTCCAAAATAGCCATGTCTGTTACACAGAGAAACCTGTTTCAAAAAAAAAAAAAAAGAAGGTCTGGAAAGACAACTCAGCAGTTAAGAGCACTGGCTGCTCTTCCAGATGTCCTCAGTTCAATTTTCAGCAACCACATGGTGATTCACAACCATCTAAGGCATCGAGAGCACTCATAAAAAATACACACATAAATAAAAGTTTAAAAACGAAGAAGAAAAGACACCAGTCAAGATGCTGAAACCTCAGGAAAGTCCTTCTAATCTCTTGTAGACCAGAAGAGCTTCATGGGAGGAAGGATTATTTTTTGAAACTCTAGGATGACTGATCCAGTCATTCTTCTTTTTCTCTTTTTGGGCTAATTAATTTTTACTTTATTTTTGCACATGATCAAAATAATGGTCTAATCGGTCATACTGCTGTCACAAGAAATTTGC